TGATGTGTCCACAGGACAGTCAAGGTAGGTCATCAAGGAATGACTGCAAGAGTGTTCAACACTAAAAGAAACCTCATACACTTCTGTCTATTCTCATAAACAGTTCAATCCAATTCTCATCAATTCTAAACCAAGAGACTGGCATGAAATTTACATTTTCTCCCCAATCAAGGCCTTCCCCACCAATGACATGGAATTTTAAAAAGAAAAAAAAAAAGAGAAAGACAAAAAACCACATAAACACAGTCAGCACTATTTTTAGAAACAACTTTCATTTCCATTTCAATTTACTTAAAATTTGAAACTTGCTAATAATAGAAATAGTATTTAATTGTCACTAAAACCGGAAGTTGCTGAAAAATAAAATATAGTGTTTCAGAGCAAATTCAAGGATCTGTGTTGTAAAATATTTGGTCTTTGTTACTCTCTCAGCATTCAATTTGTAAAAAGGAAACATGTTCTAGTTTGGTTAATTAACCACTAACATAAGTCAAATAATGAACATTGCTGCCTCCTAAATAAATCAGAATAGATGAACAGAATCCTTTGAATGTATTCGTGTGAGAGCACATTTCAAAGTCAGCCCGGTAACTCCGTCTGGAAGTTCAGAAGAGGAATGTGCTTCTGGATGTCAACAGCAGGAGAGCCTTCAGGAGCCCCATTGTTCCTGTGTGCCGGGAGCTCAGCTGTTCAGAACTGGCATGAGTCGAGACAGGAAGAGATAGTCAGACTTCTGGGGCTGGTCACTAAAGCAGGACTGCACAAGGCCCGAAGCAGCAGATGTTTGAGGGGTGCTTGGCAACAGCAATGTGAAGACCTAAGTACTAGGAATCTGAAGGGCTACGGAAGTCTTACTTCTTGGCCATAATTTGCAATCCAGAAGTTTTAGCAGAAGTCTGCAATTTTGTCCTATGGCAACCTCTCTCCTATCTCTCCGGAGTGTTTATGGCCCTTACCCAACTCCTCCCAGTAACAACAGTATTGTCTTTCAAACCCTAAGGCATGCCTGAAAACATAACAGAGAGATTCAAAAGCCATCATTTCGGTCCAAGAATGACTATTCCAGCACAATGACAAAGAGAAGCCCACTTAGATAAACAAAAAACCTATTTTCATAAAACAAGGAATTGGATTAGGCTAGTAACATCTAACAACATCTAAGCCAAATGATGCAAACAGAACACCAGGAGAGGAATTTATACCATGACTTAAATGCCACAAACAGGGAAATCCTCTCCTTGCTGAGACTCTTGGGTCCCTTCTTACGTAATGACTCCTGGCAGTTACCGTTCCTAAAATAGCTTTCTTTCCAAAATGCCCATTATCCAAAGGCCCACTCCTTCCCAGAGTTAAACTAAAGTTTTAGAGAAGTGTTCATCTGTCAAGGGTGCAGAATGAAAACAAAGATTGCCTTCAGCTTGCTTTCAAGGTGATGCAGATGGGAAGAAGCATCATGTGTAGGAGAAGACACTGAGCAGGTAGCCAAGAAATCCTGCTCTGCCTGGTGTCACTAACCAGCCTGGTGACCTCGGGCATAGCCTTAATCTCTCTGCTACTCAGTTTCCCTCAAGTAAATGGATGGCCTCCAAAGACCCTTCAACTCCTTTAAAAGTCTGTCTAAAAAAAAAAAAAAAAAAAAAGGACCCCACTTTAGTAATCCCACCCAGTCTGAGGAAACAGAGGGAGGGACCTAAGAATACTCTAATACTCTGCAGGACAGATACTAACAATTCCCAGTGGTAGCCCAGCAAGAACTGAAATATGTCAACTCGGACCCAGAACGAGTCTAAAGATGAACCAAACACCAGCAAAAATCCAGAAAATGCAACAGATAAAGGTTAGCTTTTCATCTCCACAGCACAAAGGTCACCCAGCAGTCTCCAAGTCCAAAACTTGCCAGGACGGTTTAGACTTGCTGGGAGTAGAAGCACGGTGGGGAGTAGAGAGACACTGAAATGCCATTTCAGTTCAAGTAACATACCAGGAGCTGTAGTGATGCCTTCTGTGCAGCCTTTTTCAAGAAAACCAAATTGCTTGGGGAAGGGAGTGGACTTAATTTAACTAAGCATTTCACGAGGCAAATGACAATTTTTCATTTACCATTCCATTTTATATACTGGCCAGCAAAATCCTCTTCTACCTAATATCTACGGTCCTCTTCCTTTTATCCCTTTCTGATTTTTAAGGTGGTAGGTATTGCAAAAAACAATACATACGTTCTGCAAGACCTCTGGAGGTATGCAGCATGACTGATGGATGTAGGATGAGTGGAGGCCAAGAGGACTAGCAGTCTCGAGCTGAAAAGGCAAGAAGTTCACCAGAAGTCCATCGTTTCTATTCTGCAAATCAACTGAGAAATAAAGAGGCCCTTCGAAATAAAAAGGCCCTTCTGCCAGCAAGTAAGGAGGAAGGCGGAGTCCTGACAAATCCAAGAGGGAATGCACACTTTGGAAGAGGGCAAGATGGTACTTTGCTGCTGAAGGATGGCAATGACTTAAGATTGTTTCCTAGTGGCTCCCTCCTTCCAGACACACAGCACCAGAACTAGGCCCAGACATGGTCCAGACAGACAGCAGCTCATGGACAAGGCAAGCCCCACAAAAGGAAGAAACCATCATTGGCAAGGAGCTTCAGCCAAACTGGGCAATTCTGAGCAACTGAAGCTCCAGAGATGACCAGGAATGGAGGGAGGGACTAGTAGGTTAGTGTGCAAGGCAGCCCAAGGCCCAGAACAGGAATCCCAGTGCTGTCCTTACCCAGCAGGCCAACCAGGTGCCGGGAAGGAAAGAAAGCAGAGTGGAAGCTGACAGAGGAAGCACCCAATGGGGCCCATGAACAGAGAAAGTGTAAAACCATTAAAGGCCTGTCCCTTTGTAATTTTACTGTTTTGTTATTTTTGCCAACCCTTATTTCCTGTGACGCGTGCTATATTTGATTGGAAAACTGGATGAAAAAGTCAGGAAATAGTTTCTTCTTCCTTAGGGGGCAGGAAGAATTGTAGCTCTCAAGGCCAACCTGAAGAGATAGAGAGTCACTACTGAGCGACACCACACAGTGGACAGCCTCTAAGATGCCCTAAGAATCTCCTGATATTCAGGCCCTATGTCATCTCCTCTCCTCCAGGCGCTCAGCTAAGCTAGGCCCCAGATTCCTGACCGCACAGAAACTGAAATAATGGTTGCATGTTATTTTAATCTGCTAAATTTCAGAATATGTTGTTATTCAGCAATTGATAGCAAAAATATCCCATTTCATTGAAGCCTTTTACGCAACTGAAATTAGGATTTCCTTAAGTACAAAGCCATCCAACTCAATAGCAGCTACTCTTCTTATCTTTGGGCTCAAAGACTTCATTAGGGTGCAGGATCCTAACAGAATGACATAAGGTAGTCAAGAGCTGATACACTATGTTTTTTCTTAATATTCATTTGTGATAGGGCACCTGAGTGGTGCAGTCGGTTACGCATCTGACTCTTGGTTTTGGCTCAGGTCATGATCTCAGGGTCATGGGATCGAGCCCCGCATTAGGCTCCCTGCTCAGTGGGGAGTCTGCCACTCCCTCTCCAACTGTTTCTCCCCAGCTCATGCGCTCTCTCACTCTCTCAAATACATAAAACCTTAAAAAAAAAAAAAAAGACACTCTCTCCCTCTCTGTCCTTCCCCACCGTTCTCTCACTCGCTCTCTCTCAACTAAATGTATCTTTAAAAACATGTATTTATGGGGCGCCTGGGTGGCTCAGTCGTTAGGCGTCTGCCTTCAGCTCAGGTCATGATCCCAGGATCCTGGGATCGAGCCCCACATCGGGCTCCCTGCTCCGCGGGAAGCCTGCTTCTCCCTCTCCCACTCCCCCCGCTTGCATTCCCTCTCTCGCTGTGTATCTCTCTGTCAAATAAATAAATAAAATCTTTTAAAAAAAAAATGTATTTATTTGTGATGAAGGAATGTATGTATGCGGTGCAAGATTCAAAAGAAGACCTCACCATTTCAAGTATCTGAATAAATGTACCCCAATTAAGGCCATCCTCAAATTCAGGGTTGCCCCCCCATCCCGCTTTCCTTAACTTTTTTTTTTAGTAGGCGCCACACTCACCATGAAGCCCACCATGGGGCCTGAACTCACAACCCTAAGATTAAGGTATGAGAGCTGAGATCAAGAGTCAGACGCATAACCAACTGAGCCACCCAGGTGCCCCACTTGCTTAACTTTTTCCAAAACACTTATCACCATAATATACTTCACATTATACTTAGCTAATCATTATCTCTCTCTCCTGTTGGGATTGTAAACTCCACATGGGTAAGAATTTTGCGAGTGTTTTCTACTGCTGGGTCTCCAGCCCCCAGGCCTATGTGTTAGATATTAAGTACATGGTGACTCCATGAATAAGAAGGAGATATGGCGAGAAAAGTCTCTGCATATTCTTGACAGGGTCACTGATGTAGGAATTCATATATGACACTAAATTTAAAATACTTTTCATCCTGGATGTGTTACTTTTTACTTCTTTGAGAGCTCCAAAAGAAACAGAGGAGTTTTCTACAAAAACATGAATCTTGCCCTGGTGAATCTCAGAATGAAGACATCTGATAATAAAGGCCTTTTCCTTCAATGACTTTTGTGAAATTCTACTTTTGATAAGAGGTTCCAAAGCACATTTTTTTTTTAAAGATTTTTTTTATTTATTTGACAGAGACAGAGAGAAAGAGAGCGAGCAGGGGGAGCGGCAAGCAGAGGGAGAGGGAGAAGCAGGCTCCCCGCGGAGCATAGAGTCCAACGCAAGGCTCGATCCCAGGACCCTGGGATCATGACCCGAGCCGAAGGCAGATGCCTAACTGAATGAGCCACCCAGGTGCCCCCTTCAATGCATATTTTACCTTAAATCAAAATCATTACAGATATTTCGAAGAGTGGCTGCATCATCTTTCCAATCATTGTATTGTTTAAGTCTTCTATGGGGAAAAAAACTTTAAAATTTCAAGTAACAAGAGAGGTTATACTCTACTTGTTTCAGCAGTACATATACTAATATTGGAACAATACAGAGAAGATTAGCATGACCCCTGTGCAAGGATAAAACACAAATTCATGAAGTGTTCCCTATTTGGGAGAAGGTACAATTTATAGTAAATTAAATGCACAGATCTTAAGAGACGGTTGAGTTTGGCAATTGCATACCCCATGGACCACCAGCCCAACCAAGAAGAGGACACTTCTATCACTCCTGAACGTTTCCTTGTGTTCTTTTCCAGTTGATCCAGCATTATTCAGACACCTGAAATGGTGGGGTCTTCTGGTCCTCCAACAATGGCAGCTTCTATTATGATTTTTATTCACCATAGTTTATTTTCACAGTTCTGGCACTGCACATAAATGGTCATATTTTAAAAAATTTAAAAAACAAAAAACAAAAAAAAACAGGGCTAGCAACACTAAAAAACAAAACAAAACCCAAGAGGCCGTGCGTACCACTGTGGTATGGCCGGTGTTACTCAATCTCTCTTATTCCTCATACTGTCCCCACAACCTGCTGGTTGGGTATCTCCTGGGGAATGCACATAACTTAAAACTATAGCGAAGACGACTCAAAATTCTTGGTTGCTATAGGTCAATAAATAAGTTAACGCTTTGCAAGTAGATTAAATGAAATAAATGATTAGGCTTGCTGAATGCTCGCAGACTGACATCTTCATCCAATAACACCATGTACATATTACTCTTCCAAGCTGGGGACATCATAATGTGCAATGCCCATCTCATTTAAACCTCATGCTACTCTCACCTCCTCCTCCAACCGCTCTCAGATGACTCAACACCAGACAAATTAATTTGAGAACCTGTGTACCTGGTCCTCTGTTGGGGGGGGGGGACTATCAAAACTCAGGATACAGAGAAAGTTGCTTCCTGTCCGCAATTTGCTTAGTGAATCAGGCCTACAGTAGCTTTCAGGGAGTTACCTTAAATTCTGAAAAGCAACAGATCAATCCATATTTCAAAGATCCAGAACAAAGAACGTTTGCTTTTTGAACAGCAGTGAATGCAAGGCAGAAGAAAGGCTGACAGAAGGATGCCTAGGTTTCTACATGCCTCAGGGACATTTTCTGAATAGCTCCAATTCAACGACTAGAACTGTAACATCAGCTGAGCTCTGCCTTGGATGTGAGCTCCTGAAGGATCAACACTCTGTCTTATCCTTGTTTGTCCTTCTGCAGGACTTAGCAGAGTCAGGAAACCAAACTTTCCATCACCAGAAAGAATCTACAAGTTACTCTCTCTTGTTTCCAGTTTTAGTAACCCCAATTCCCATTTTCCCGTCCCTTTTCTTACTTTACAAGTGATGGTGCCCCCCTACTGTCCTGCCATGAAATATTAAAGGAGTATATAGGGAGCATTTCTGGGTCTCCCATTATTAAACATAATTAAAAGGTACATAGCTTATGATAGTACCTATCTAATTAAGCAATAATTTCACAGCCTACACAATTATGTATATAAAACTGAACACTGCTAAAGTACCAACTATGCCTCAAGAATAGAAGGAAGCATTCTGAATAAGACTATTTAAAATCTAAGACTGAAGGAGGAGTACGGAATCTCGAGTCACACATATAATACAGTAATTAGAAAACAGTTCACTTCCAGGGTCTTAAGTGCCAGTTTACAATCATTCGAAGATGTTACTGTTTTCTCCTTATGTAATGTTAAAAAAAGCTTAGCAAGATAATTATACATGTTGTAAAGAAAAGCTTTTACCACTGCAGAGTGTGCTTTAAAAATATTTTAAGTTTGAGGCATCTGGGTGGCTCAGTCGGTTAAGCATCCAACTCTTGATTTCAGCTCAGGTCATTGTTCAGGGTCCTTGGATCGAGCCCCATGGGGCTCTGCACTGGGCATGGAGCCTGCTTAAGATTCTCTCTTTCTCTCTCTCCCCCGGCCCTTCCCATCTTAAAAAATATTTCAAGGGCGCCTGGGTGGCTCAGTTGGTTAAGCGACTGCCTTCGGCTCAGGTCATGATCCTGGAGTCCCGGGATCAAGTCCCGCATCGGGCTCCCTGCTCAGCAAGGAGTCTGCTTCTCCCTCTGACCCTCCTCCCTCTCATGCTCTCTCTCATTCTCTCTCTCTCAAATAAATAAATAAAATCTTTAAAAATATATATATATATATTTCAAGTTCAAATTTGAACCCTGGTAGTAAGTATATACAAACTACTGGACATTCTGACCTATGAGCTGGTTCTACCACAAGAAAAGGGAAATTTTAGTTTTTTGTTATTTGTTTTCCCCAAAAATTTATTATATAAAGAATCCTCTGGCTTCCAGTAAAATCTACCGCAACATAACAAAAATTCAGGCCTTTGGATCCTTCTGACATCCTTCTTTACTCCTTAATTAGATGTTTCATTGGCTTTCAAGTGAAACTCAACTACTGGCTCTGAGATCATTTACATTTACTTAGACATTTTAAGCCGCCCTGTCACCATTACAGAGCACTGCTTAATGAGGTCCCCTTACACAATGGCTGGCTTGACAACAACCCACAGTTAATACTAAAATGATCCAAGATTTGCTACTTTTTCTGAATTTAAAAAACTTAGCCTCCTCCCTAAAAATAGGAGGGGGAGAGGTATTATTTCATAAAGGGTGCTTCTACTTGAAGCATTTCCAAGAGAACTGTATAATCATCAAGTGGAGACTTAATATGAATTCAAATAAATTCACAAGTTCAACTCTCAGTCCTTGAACATGGAATCTCCCTCCTCCTTGACAGTGCACAAAAACCACACACTGATCACTTCTAGGCTATTCTGGAGTTTGTGTGTGAGAGCAGAAAGAGCCTAGCAGAAGGCAGGGCAGCAGGGGTGGAGAAGGAAGAAAAGAGAAGAAAGAAGAGGTGTCAGAAGCTTGGGCAGAAGTGGCCGCGGGTCATGAAGAGCTGGCTGGAGAGGGTAAAAATGAGGCTCTCCAGAGTGTAGGAATCCCAACACCTTCATTTTGGGGGTGAGGAAACGGAGGCCATGGTCACAAAGCCAGCAAGTGACAGGAGTCAGGCCCAGGTCACCTGCTGAGAGGGCAGGATGCATAGACAATAAATGAAGAGATAGAGCACCTTTCTTCTCGCCTCACACTCCCCTCTAAGGAAGAGCACAAGAGGGAGGCAGGAGAAAAGGTGTGCAGCTGCAGGAGGAGCCATCTGGCTATGACGACTGATTAATGGGCTTCTCTCTTCAGCGGGATCGACATGAGATATTATGTTTGTAACTTGGTTGAGATTTGTATACTCTCAAGAGGCCAAGATTAACTCCTCGCCCCCAAATAAAGGAACACCCCACTAGCTTTGCATCACAAATGGAATATAAAGACAGTATAGAAAAACTGAGATGGATTAAAAAGTTTAATAAATAATTCACACTTTGCTAGAAATGGCAAGATGCCCCTTGATGCTAAACAGCCAAACCTGACTTTCTATTCCTTAGGGCCTGGCTCTAAAATATAAAATTTTATACTTGAAATGAGCTTTGTAGAGAAGAAAAAAACTTCCATTCAATAAGCTTAACTATTAACTTGGAGGGGGTTGAGTGCCATAAAAACCAGTGCTTCTCATACTTGAAATGCACAGGAACCACCTAGGACCTTGTCAAGAGGCAGATCCTGATTCAGTATGCCTGGGACCAAGACTGAGATTCTAACAAGCTCCCTGGTGATGCCGATGCCATCAACCCCACCCATGAACCACACTTGAAGTATCAAGGCCATAAAAAACACGAGGTATGAAAGTCACATTTCAAGGTATATTTATTTCACAACTTGGCCTGCTAGCTACAGTACAGTGACATTCGAGTTCTTCTCCTCCTGGTGATTGACAGGCTCTGTAGAAATACAAACATAATTTTGGGGGGAGGGGAGGAAGGAGTTTAAGTCCAATTAAGTATAAAAGCACTGTGATTATCTAATCCAACAGAATTTACTCTGGGCTCAGTGAGGAATAGCATAGTCTATGTGTTTTTTCATACAACAAAGGACAGTAAAGGTTGATAGTTATGGAATCTGATTTAATTCCTCTTGAGGGGCCAGATGGACCCAGTGTTCATTTGCATGAAAGCTCATCTTTCCTTACCGAAAAGAAAATTAACGCCCATTTGCTCTCAAATGCGCACTGCGTTGTTTTCCAGGAGTACTGAGGCTTTCATTCGGACAGCCCACTGGAAAGCCTGGGCCAAGACAATGGAATGGAGCTGGGTTGTTCTAATCCAGGTACAAAATTATTAGTAGTATTACCATTTCTATCCATGGTCTCATGTGCCTTAGTGAAAACGTAAGCCTTCTGAAGACTACCTTAAAGTCTTTGTGGGCTAATCCATATTTGAGGAATAAAATTTTAAAACCTAGCCTTAGGAAGCAATGTGGCTTTCTTTAGAAATCTTTACTCAAATGTGTGCCAGTTACTAGTTATACGACCTTAGGTAAATTACTTAACCTTTCTGTTTCCTCCACTATAAAATGAGGACAATAGCCACCTAAGGTTCCAGTAAGATCATGTACTTTGAGCTCTTTAGCAGCTCAGTGGTTGGCCCAGTGGGGTTCAAGGGCAGGATTATCACTGTTACCGTCAGGGCCACCTTCTCCAACTGAGCCAACCAATCCCAATTCGCATGGTGCTAAATACAATCCCTGGTAGGCTCTGTTCTCAGCCGGCTCACATTCCAAGCCAGCAACACATGTAAGTCACACCCACTTTTTAAACACCACATAATTCTTGATTTCTTTGTAATCATCAAGCACTAAGGTATTCAGGAAAGAAAGTCTGCAATACGTACAACCGTTCTCTTCACTGTCCCCAATGCCATCTCATCACTCACTAATCCTTCCCTGTCTTCCCTCAAGTTAGCCTCAGTCTGTCTGAAGACAGCACAGCATCCCAAAGTACTCCCCCAGCAGGGTGTAAGCAGGAATGGGCTGCTTTTTTTCTGCCAGTTTAGTACTGATCACGTGGGCAGGACTATTTACACAAAGCAAAACTCTGGAAGACCATTATTTACAAGTGTGTGTGTGTGTGTGTGTGTGTGTGATTAATACTTTAAGGTCCATAGTCTTCCATACATATTATCTCC